CAAGGGACTCAGAGCGGAGCGGACGGGAGCCACAGTGGAGGCTGTAGGCTTTGCTTTGAGCAGGCGGTCTGGAGTGCAGCGGGGCGTTGGAGGAAAAGAAAGGGGGAGATATCTTCTCTGCTGTATATTCATATTTGTTTTGATGGAGCGAGTAAGACATAAATACTAGTAGCCAAGAGTTGGAATGCTAGCATATCCTGTCCAGCAAATACTAAGTTTTGGAATTTAAGTTCTATAAACCCTTCAGAAAGTCCACTAATAAATGATTAATGAGAATTATGAGAATTGACATTGTTAAAACCCTTGTTAAACTAGATAATTCCTTACTACACTATACTATTTCTATTTGCACAGCTGTAAACTTTGCTTATTTTTTATAGAAATTTGAAAAATTAAATTTTTATGTAAATTAGATTTTAATTATGGTCAATGCAAACTGTCAAAACCACTTCGTATGACTTCTAAAAGTTATTGTGTGCTCTGTGCCGTTGTCATGTGATGTCTTGTCCAGTGATGTATATCAATAGATTTGGATGCGGTATTTGGTAGGATATTGTATTTCAGATTCCAGGCATTCATGCTCTACATTTAGTGAGTTGGAAGGAGTCTTATCCCCCTTAATGCTAAAACTAGCGGTATATTTTTAGTGGCTGAGATTCTAAAGGTGAAGAGATATTAGGTTTGTTTCCTTTAAAGGAATATCTGTAGATGTGTGGAGCCTTCTTCCCCCGTTAGCATCAGATCATTTTAGGGGTTAGACCTTTAACAGACTCCTCAGACAAGATGCACCTTCAGGATTTATTTATCTGCATCTGCTGTAAACTTGCTCTAAGTCTGAAGTGATTCTTATTTAACACGATGATCTCAGGTTTGCTAGAACAGCAGGTTTTTATCTCTCCTCCAGCCGTCTGTGCTCTTTGGCATAAGGAGCGGTGGATCATGAAAGCCGATGTTGGTGAAATTCCCTTTGTTACAGCTGCAACTTTCCATGGAGTCTGTAGAGACTTTGTTTGAGTTGAGTTCCTGTTTCAGAATGGCTCATGTTTTTTACTGAATCTGAAACTTCTAAACAACCAAACTTTAAAATAATAGAAAGACAGCTGCACTTATTTCACTTATACGACGGAGCATTAGGGCCAGGCTAGAGAATTTTTTTTCGAGAAAATAGTCCCAACGTTAAAGTCGTAATGTTACCAGAACAAAGCCGTAACGTTACCAGAACAAAGCCGTAACGTTACCAGAACAAAGCCGTAACGCTACCAGAACAAAGCTGTAACGTTACCAGAACATAGCCCTAAAGTTGCCAGAACATAGCCGTAACGCTACCAGAACAAAGTCGTAACGTTACCAGAACAAAGCCGTAACGTTACCAGAACAAAGCCGTAACGCTACCAGAACA